ATGTGATTTCTATAGAGGTTTTTTTTTTACAGTGTTACATGCTCCTCATGTAGTCATAGCAAATGACATGTCTGTGTTTGTGTTGTGCCGACAATACAAAAGGATCTTGCAACACAGTGTACAATTAATGTAGTTTGACAATAGTTTTACTACCATGATGCAATACTATGGGATGGTGGAATTTGCAGCTTGGTAAAGCCCTGGTGGTGCAGTGGGTTAAACTGCTGAGCTGCTGAACTTGCTGACCAAAAGGTCACCGGTTCAAATCTGGGAAGCAGGCTGAACTCCCGCTGTTAGCCCCAGCTTCTGCCAAACTAGCAGGCCAAAAACATGCAAATGTGAGTAGATCAATAGGTACCACTCTGGCGGGAAGGTAACGGTGCTCTATGCAGTCATGTTGGCCACATGACCTTGGAGATATCTACGGACAACACTGGCTCTTCAGCTTAGAAATGGAGATGAATACCACCCTCCAGAGTCGGACACGACTGGACTTAATGTCAGGGGAAAACCCTCAAGGCCCCAGCACTCTTTGGTCTTATAAAACTACAAATCCCACAGTTCCATAGTACTGAGGAACAGCAGTTAAAGTGGTGTCAAGCAGCGTTAATTCTACAGTGTAGACACCCACTGAGTCTACAAATGCTCAAAGGTGATACAAGTTCCCATCTAGTCATGTATGACTGCTGCATTTGGTTAATGAGGGTGGCTGGAAAGTGCATATATTTTTTTTGAACAAAGCTTTTTTCTGTTCAGGACAAGTACTGTATTGCCATTTGGATATATATATATATATATATATATATATATATATTGTTGACTTTCCTTTGCTTTATACCATCATGCCCACTCAGCCATGTGAGACAGTGAAATTTCTAGGTGTGGCTAGCCAGAAATGTGTTGTTCTTTATTGAAACTATTTTTGGAATTGAGATTTTTTTCTTCTTCAAACAGCATTTGATTTCTATGTGGTTCCCCCCCCCCCCCAATTCCTTCAATCTATTCATGTGTGAAAAGTGAATCTGGTTGGCATGTTGTTCCTGTTGTGTGCTTTGAAGTCATATCTGACTTATGGTGATGCTAAAGCAAACTTGGGATGGTGTTGTTGGATGATTTTGTGAAATTTGTTTAGAGGGGGTAACCCTTGCTTCCCTCTGAAGCTGAGAGTGTGTGACTTACCCAAGGTCACCCAGTTGGTTTCATATCCAAGCAGGGATTCAAACTCTGGTCATCAAAGTTGAAGCCATTACACTACATTAGCTCTCATATCATGCTGGCCTCAGTTGGTTGGCATACTTGCAAGAAATGTGGCGTTCAGACTTAACATATTTTCCAAAATCCATTTTTTTCACTCAGAATAGTTCCTGGAATGTGGCTTTTGTGGTGCATTTTTATGGCTCATTGCATCACTCCCCTCTAATTACCTCTCCCTGGTTAATTTGGTAGGTGTGACTAGCCAGAAAAGGGAGGTGTCCCTGGAAATGTGGTTTTTGTGGCTGTTGAGGAGTTTGTTCTGACACTGATCCCATCTAAGTGTATGTAGCTGTTGAATGTGCCCCCTTCTACACTGCCATATAAAATCCTGATTATCTGCTTTAAACTGGATTATATGGCAGTGCAGACTCTTATAATCGAGTTCAAAGTGTTGAGATTCAACCCCACACTGCCCAAGTCTCAAGTCCTCAATGAGGAATAAGTTAGTTAACTTAGAATAGGCTGAGGATTTCCCTTTCCCCGTGTCTCCTGAATGACAGTGTGAATTTCTTCTCTCTGTTTCTGCTCTCATTCTGATTCATTCTCATTCTGATTTTTTTTTTGGTTGTGTTGTGAGAGAATTGGCCGTCTGCAAGGACGTTGCCCAGGGGACGCTGGATGATTTCTGATGTTTTGTCATCCTTGTGGGAGGCTTCTCTCTTGTCCCCGCATGAAGAGCTGGAGCCAATAGAGGGAGCTCATCCGCCTCTCCCGGGATTCGAACCTGCGACCTGTCGGTCTTCAGTCCTGCCAGCACAGGGCTTTAACCCACTGCGCCACCAAAAAAAACCCCAAAAACAAAAAAAAACTGCAAGCCTTTTTGAATGTTGCTCTTTATTTATTGTTCTGATTTTAGAGGGTTTTTTTTTAATACTGGTAGCCAGATTTTCTTAATTTTCATGGTTTCCTCCTTTCTGTTGAAATTGTCCACATGCTTGTGGATTTCAATGGCTTCTCTGTGTAGTCTGACATGGTGGTTGTGAGAGTGGTCCAGCATTTCTGTGTCCTCAGATAATATGCTGTGTCCAGGTTGGTTCATCAGGTGCTCTGCTATGGCTGACTTCTCTGGTTGAAGTAGTCTGCAATGCCTTTCATGTTCCTTGATCCGGGTTAGGGCAATGCTGCGTTTGGTGGTCCCTATGTAGACTTGTCCACAGCTGCATGGTATACGGTAGACTCCTGCAGAAGTGAGAGGATCCCTCTTGTCCTTTGCTGAACGTAGCATTTGTTGGATTTTCTTGATGGGTCAGTAGATAGTTTGTATGTTGTGTTTCCTCATCAGCTTCCCTATACGGTCAGTGGTTCCCTTGATGTATGGCAAGAACACTTTTCCTCTGGGTGGATCTTTGTCTTTACTCACGTGGCTTGTTCTTGGCCTTGAAGCTCTTCTGATGTCTGAGGTGGAGAAACTGCAGGAAAACTTTAGATCAGTGGTTCTCAACCTTCCTAATGCCGTGACCCCTTAATACAGTCCCTCATGTTGTGGTGACCCCCAACCATAACATTGTTTTTGTTGCTCCTTCATAACAATCATTTTACTACTGTTGTAAATCATTATGTAAATATTAGATATGCAAGATGTATTTTCATTCACTGGACCAAACTGGGCATAAATACCCAATTCACCCACATGTAAATGCTAGTGGGATTGGAGGACGATTGATTTTGTAATTTGGGAGTTGTAGTTGCTGGGATTTATAGTTCACTTATAATCAAAGAGCATTCTGAACTCCACCAGCGATGGATTTGAACCTAATTTGCCACACAGAACTCCCATGGCCAAAGGAAAACACTGGAAGGGTTTGGTGGGTATTGACTTTGAGTTTGGGAGTTGTAGTTCACCTATATCAAGAGAGCACGGTGGACTCACGCAATGGTGGATCTGGACCAAACTTGGCACAAATACTCAATATGCGCAAATGTGAACACTGGTGGAGCCTGAGGGAAGTAGACCTTGACTTTTGGGAGTTGTAGTTGCTGGGATTTATAGTTCAGCTACAATCAAAGAACATTCTGAACTCCACCAACGATAGAATTGGCTCAAACTTCCCACATGGAATCCCCATGACCATCAGAAAATACTGTGTTTTCTGATGGTCTTTGGCGACCCCTCTGACACCCCTTCGCGACCCCCTCAGGGGTCCCGACCCCCAGGTTGAGAAACACTGCTTTAGACCATCATTAATGGATGGATGGATGGATGGATAGATATAGATAGATAGATAGATAGATAGATAGATAGATAGATAGATAGATAGATCAGGCCTGGGCAAACTTGGGCCCTCTAGGTGTTCTGGACTCCAACTCCCACAATTCCTAACAGCCTCAGGCCCTTTCCTTCCTTTCTTTTCTGCTTAAGTAGCTGAGGGGGAAAGGAGCCCCCGGTGGCGCAGTGGGTTAAACCCCTCTGCCGGCAGGACTGAAGACCGACAAGTCGCAGGTTTGAATCCAAGGAGAGGCGGATGAGCTCTCTCTATCAGCTCCAGCTCCTCATGCAGGTACATGAGAGAAGCCTCTCACAAGGATGATAAAACATCAAAAAATCATCCAGGCGGCCCCTGGGCAACGTCTTTGCAGACGGCCAATTCTCTCACACCAGAAGCGACTTGCAGTTTCTCAGGTTGCTCCTGACCCGACCAAAAAAAAAAAAAAAGCTGAGGAAAGGGCCTGAGGCTGTGAGGAATTGTGGGATTGAAGTCCAAAACACCTGGAGGGCCTCAGTTTGCCCATGCCTGATATGTATATGTATATGTTTGCATTTTAGAGATACGTGTAATTAGATTAGAGATGTGTGTTGGTGATATAGTGAAATGAGTTTATATTATACAGTAACACTGTTATATGAGGTTTGCCTTTGTCTTCATGTGCCTTTATTTATTTCAATATGAATATCAAGACAATACAGAGCTTATGGCATGGTATAGTGAAGCATATAATATTAAGGTAAAGGTTTCCCCTGACATTAAGTCTAGTCGTGTCCGACTCTGGGGATTGGTGCTCAACTCCATTTCTAAGCTGAAGAGCCGGCGTTGTCCATAGACACCTTCAAGGTCATGTGGCCAGCATGACTGCATAGAGTGCTGTTACCTTCCCACCGGAGTGGTACCTATTGGTCTACTCACATTTGCATGTTTTCGAACTGCTAGTTTGGCAGAAGCTGGGGCTGACAGAGGGAGCTCACGCCACTCCCTGGATTAAAATTAACTAAGTGTATTATTAATAGCATTTCCCAAGCAACCAAAAACTACATTTATTTATTTATTTACATTTATATGCTGCCCTTCACACCCCGAAGGGGACTCAGCGTGGCTTACAAGATATATAAACATAGAATATATTATATTATTAACATAGTACAATATCAGTATTAAATATTACTATATTGTAGTATACCATTATATTGTAATATTATTAGTAATGTTACATGTAATATAAAAATATAATTATAATATATTATTATATTGCATTACATTATAATATTATAATTTTTTTGTTTTCTCTGTGTTAACAATTAGAAGACTGTGACTGCATTGCCTTGAGTCAGGCAGCCCAAGCGGTGGCGAACGAACCGCCTTGGTTCTGCAGTGTCGAGACGCCCAAGAAGGTCCCTTCCCGCCGGAATCCACTCCGGGCTTTCAGGCGGTCCCTCGGGCAAGGGCAACCCAGAGCGGAGCGCCCCCTGGCGCAGACGGGCCCGCCTTATAAGTGGCGGCGCGCGAGGCGCGGAGGTACAAAACCCGGGCGGAGTGTAGGGAGTGGACTTGGGACCTGGAGCCCGGAGAGGACTTGGCTGAAGCGGGAGTCGCGGAGATCTAGGAAGCCCGGGACTTGCAGAAGGTGAGCTCCGCTTCGGCTGGTCGCCCACTCCCGAGTTAGGAAGGACAGCCAGCGGGTTCAGGGCGAGAGAGGGACGGGGCGGCAGAGGAGGAAGAGGGGGACGAGAGGGCGACTCAAGGCGCGCTGCTTGGAGATTCTCTACAACGGAGATTCTCATCCCAGCAAACGCTGCCCATAAGTGGCCCAGAGATCCGTCCTGGAGGGAAGGGGCTTCATAGAAACTTGGGGGGCGTCAACCATAGACGTTTTGTGCCTCCAGATAACGGGATGGGTGGAATCTTGGAGCTGGAAGTGACCCCAAGTCCAACCCAATCCAGTCCAACCCAATCAAAGCACCCCCGACAGATGGCAGTCCAGCCTCTGCTTAAAAACAGAGAATGCGATTTCACTATTTCCCGAGGCAACACATTTCACTGCCGAACTCCTCTTACCTCGGGAAGTTCTTCCTAAAGTTTGGGTGGCATCTCCCCGTAATCTGAATCCAGGGCTCCAATGTCCAAATCAAAGCACCCCCGACAGATGGCCACCCAGTCTTCTTTAAAACCTCCAGGAAAGGGGACTCCACCATGCTCCAAGGCTGCATATTCCACTGCTCTTACCATCAGAAAGTTCTCCCTATTGTTTAGGTGGAATCTTTTTTTCTCTCTCCTGCAATTTGAATCCCTTTCTCCATTGTGTCCTAGGAAATTCACCACACTAGAGAAGAAATCCACTTAAAATCCGGCTTCTGATTTCTGCAGAATTCTGGAGTTTGTAGTTCAGGGAGGAGCCTTTAACAGCCTCACAAAACTACAAACCCCAGAATTCGGCAGGAGGTAGAAACTGCATTTTAAGTGGATTTTTTCTAGCCTCCAGAACAGCAGAAATCAAGCCTGTCCCCTCTCAATGGGATGCCCCTTGAAATATGTAAACTTTTCTCTCATGTCCCTTTTTAGCCTCCTTTTCTCCACCCTAAACATCCCCAGCTTCCCACTCAGGGTTGCCCTCTTGCCAGGATGGTTGTGAAGTATCTGTAGAGAAATGGGGAGTGAAGAGTGCATGTGTTCCTGTATAACTTGTCCTTTCAGCCCTAATTTTTAGGAAAAGTAGGAAAATTATGATATCATGTAACAGGATTTTTGTTCCTGGGTTGTAAATGCCATTTCCTCATTGGCTCTATCATAAAAACATAGGAAAAGTTTATTAAACCGCAAAAATAATTATTTTTGCAAGACATCCTGCAGCACATTTTGCTCTAGTTTTTCAATGACTCTCTCAAAGAGCCTCATCCAATTCAACATAGTTTGTGGCAGCTACAAATGCAAAATTTCTGGAATATAACAACTACTGGAATATAACAACTACTATAACAACTACTTTCAAAGTAAGGACTGCACAATTAAACTGGAAATACCACTTTCAAACCAGGAACAGAAACATTTTCAAACTTGCTTACATATTGTTATTATTTTACACTAGAGGATATAGAGCAGGCATGGGCAAACACCTGGAGGGCCAAAGTTTGCCCATGCCTGATATAGAGAGTCTAATCCCTGCTAGTGACTTTGCATAGTTCAGTCAGAAGCTGGTCATTATTTGAGGTCACGGTGGTAAACAAAAGGAGTGTGCTGTCAAAGGTCCCTCCAAAACAGGACAAAGTTCAGGATGAGTCGGGATGTCATCCAGCCGCCATTAGTCCTGTTCAATTAATCTGCTTTTTATCACTAATTCATACTTAGACGCTTCCAGACAATGATTTTCCCAAAAAGAGTTGTGTGCCTATTTAAAAAATCCTAATGGTTTTACTTCCTAATGAGGATTTTATTCTGCAGGCACCCCCTTTTCCACTTTTAATCCCTCTTTAGGAGCCCCCAGTGGTGCAATGGGTTAAACCCTTGTGCTGGCCAACCAAAAGATTGCCGGTTTGAATCTGGGGAGCAGGGTGAGCTCCTGTCTGTCAGCTCCAGCTTCCCATACAGGGACATGAGAGAAGCCTCCCACAGGATGGTAAAACATCTGGCCATCTCCTGGGCAATGTCCTTGCAGAAGGCCAATTCTCTCACACCAGATACAACTTGCAGTTTCTCAAGTTGTTCCTGACATGAAAAAAAATTCCTCTATATTTTTGCACTGCCATGTTTGTCTCTTTTCTTTCTACTAAATCAACAAACAAACTGTTAAAAGGAGATGCAGAGTGTTTATTGGTAGTAGTTGGAGCCTTCAATCTGTACTTTTCCTCTGTGCAAAGAAAAAGGATAGGAAAAGCTTCAGGAAAATATTGGAGGATTGCAAATGGAAGGCAGTACCATCTAGAGCTGCTTCCCCTCATGAAATCCCATGAATAAGGTTGCAGAATTGCACAAAAAATCTAAACTGGAAACACCCGCAATATAGAGCAGATATCCTTGTCATGGAAACACATGTAAATATTTATGTAGGTTGCTTAAGCTGTATCCATACTGCAGAGATATAGCAGTTTGACACCACATTAACTGTCGTGTCTCAATTCTTTGGGATTTGTCATTTTGTGAGATGTTTACCCTTTTCTGTCACAGAGCTTTGTGGCCACAATACATTACAATTCCAAGGATATAATAGGATGGAGGTTAAAGTGGTGTCAGACTGCTGCGGTTCTGCAGTGTGGATCTCTCTCAGCTAATGAAAGATTCCACTTTTTTTTTTTTTGTCGTGTCAGGAGCAACTGCTCCTGTTGTGAGAGAATTGGCCGTCTGCAAGGACGTTGCCCAGGGGACGCCTGGATGATTTTTGATGAGCATTAGGAAGAACTTCCTGACTGTGAGAGCCGTTCAGCAGTGGAACTCTCTGCCCCGGAGTGTGGTAGAGGCTCCTTCTTTGGAAGCTTTTAAACAGAGGCTGGAGGGCCATCTGTCAGGGGTGATTTGAATGCAGTATTCTTGCTTCTTGGCAGGGGGTTGGACTGGATGGCCCATGAGGTTTCTTCCACCTCTATGATTCTAACTTTATTCTATCAGTCTCTAAGATGCCACAGGATCCTTGTGCATACTGATATTCCAGACTAACACAGCTGTAGCTTTGAGCTGTAAATAGCTAGTTCGAGATGAAATACATTTTGAGAAAAGAGATGGGCTGATGATCCTATTTCTGTTGCATTGCACATAAGTCTTTGAAGAGGATCTATCTGAGTCGGGAAGGCAGAATAGAACATTTCTCCATTTAGCAAGGAGAGTCTGTCGGATTCTGTTCTGTGTTTGATAGGGGAAGTTTACATTAGATAATGGCTGTTAGTAGCCTGGTACCATCTATTGACTACTGTAATGTGTTATCTTTATGTCATGTGTCTGACAAATCATACAAGTTTTAGGCTGTTAATTGATTAAGGCTGCAGATAAGAAAAAAACCACTCTGGAAACAAGGTGGCTACTTGTATTTGCATGCATGTGTTGTGTTATAGCAGGCAGCATTTCCGAAGAAGGTTTTTCACTGTGACAGGCAGACATCTAAAGAAAAGGGAGAGAGAGAGAGAAAAGTCCCTTATGATAGCAGTTGCCATTTCAGATTTTAAATTCCAAAATATTTGCATAGGTTTAAAAGTTTGGTGCTCAGTTAATTGGGGGCACCTTTTGTCAGTTACATTTTTCTTCTAATAGACCCCAACATTGTCTATTCCCATTGACTACGGTAGTTTATAGTGCTATTAGAATAGCAAATGCTATTAGCATAGTAAATGTCGGGTCAGTTTTGTTTGTATTATAAACACTGAACTCTACCAGACTGAGTTTGGTGTTTATAATAAAAAGTAAAATTGTTGTTCTTCACCAACATATACAACCCTCTGAATGAGACCTCCAAGTAGTGGCTTACTAAAAACAAATATACAGTTTGAATTAAGGAGCAGAGTACATCTAAAGCATTGGTTCCCCGACCTTTTTTTGAACAGGGACCACTTTGACTGGGGATCACTCTCCAACATTAATACCAAAGGGGTTACGAATCAGGTTTTGGTCAACTTTAGATTCGGTTTGGTTATATGGGGTGCTGATGCAGAAAATTGCATTGGATAGACCACATCAGCTCTAGTTTCTGATGCAGAACATACACCACCCAGTAGTCACCATCTGCTCGCCCACAGAAAACCATACTTGATAATCTAGAGCTGATGTGGTAGTAGTAGTAATCTTTCATGGGTAGTCAGCCTCTCCCGTCTCGACATCCCTGTTGCCTCTACACTATAACAGGGTTTCGTGAGACTAGTTGCGACGTGGTTTTGAGGTAATGGTGAGGTCGCAAACCATACTTCCATTCTTGCAGACCAGTAGTGGTCCATGGACCACAGGGAACCAATGATATACCCTAAAGGTACCTCAATCTAGGAATTTTTTCCATATTAAAATTGAGCTTTCTCATAAACATCCATTCCCGCTTCTTCCATTTTTTGTTTGAACAGCTTAATTTGGAGGAGTAAAACAACTGGGAGGTAGAAATTTGGGTGATCTATTACAAAGCAGCTGAAGATGTAGTGGATCCTGATCTACCTGCTATTCATTCTTGTAGGGAAGATAGAAAACAACTCCTTTTCTTCCTAACTCTGATTTTGAACTGGCAATCACAAGATAGGTAAAGGTTTCCCCTTGACATTAAGTCTTGTCTTGTCCAACTCTGGGGGTTGTACTCATCTCCATTTCTAAGCCAAAGAGCCGGCATTGTCCATATACACCTCCTAGGTCATGTGGCCAGCATGACTACATGGAGTGCTATTACCTTCCCGCCGAAGCGATACCTATTGATCTACTCACATTTGCATGTTTTCGAATTGCTAGGTTGGCAGAAGCTGGGGCTAACAGCAGGAGCTCACCCACTCCCTGCATTTGAACCACTGACCTTGCCATCAGCAAGTTCAGCGGTTTAACCCATTGCAATACCGGGGGGGGGGCAAATCACAAATTAGATATATTAATTCTCCTTCCAATGAACATATATTAAAAGGATTGAGGAAAAGCCACATTTAACCACCCCCAGTTGTAATGAGAACCCAGCATTTAAAGGAGATCAAGAGTGAGCAAGTTCAAGTGAAATGACTTCTTAAGTAAAACTATCTTGGATTCTGTTTTCTTTGACAAAGACCAACAGGAGCCATTGTGTTTTACAAGCTGAAATGACTCAGTGTCATCTGGTTCTGAATATAGCCCAAGGTTAATTCAGCCAGACAATAGGAATTAAAACAAGAAAGAAGAGAGACGGAACAATTCTGTTTTGCTAGATATGCCTATACAGCTACTTATTTAAACACAGACACATATGCCCTGCTGTAAATGTAGGAATGACGGTTGTGGTTTAACATAAATTGCTTCTGGTTCTAGTGCATTTGTATGGATTACTGTCTGCTCTCATCCAAACTGAAAAGAATGTGCTTCACTTTCAAAGGGCGCAAACAATCCTGGTGAGCTTTGTTGATCCATTGTGAGGAGAAATCCCACCACAATGGGGTTGCATATGTACTAGGACCAATGACAATATCTCAGAGTAATCAGCGAGCCCTTGAGTTATCCAGAACCCTTCTTCACATTGATTATTTTGCAAAATAGTAAGGTATAAGAGAGGGAAAGGGAACGCTCAGCATGATGTTCCAGCCAAAGCCCCAACGTCTGCTCTTTCTAACAGTCTGACAGCACCATCGTATTATCTATTCTGAAATAAGTCCCATGGAACAAAATGGAACTTTCCAGTTGGAGATGAAGGCATTTTACTACGTAAGAAAAAAGAATTGTGCATTCGTGTCCTGTCCCCCCGCAATTCATTCTTATTTCAAACATGGGCGCTTTTAACATAGTGTGATTATTGGACTATGATTCTACTTTAACAGCCATTACATCCTATGGATTGACAAAAGGGGCTTTGGAGTTCTCATTTGTTGCCCCTGAGCAAACTACAAAGAACAGGATTCCACAGGGGTCCCAGCCAGTTATGCCCTGTTTTTCTGAAAATAAGACAGTGACTTTTATTAATTTTTGCTCCCAAAGATGCACTAGTGATGTCTTTATTTTTCCATGAAGAGGAATTCACATTTATTGTTGAACCAAAGAAGAAGAACATTTATTATATACTGCACAGTAGTTTTCAGTATATAATAAATAAACTGGCCCTCAAACACAGGGCCACAAAAAATAAGGGCTGTAAAGTACACTTTACACACTGTTACTGTTCCTGGACTTCTTGTACAGCAGGGATTGTATTGCAGCTTCCAGCCAAAACTTTGGAGTATGCTTCCAAACAAAAACTTTGCTAGGTCTTACTTTTCGGGGAGGCCTTACATTTAACAATTCAGCAAAACCTCTACTATGTCTTATTTTTCGGGGATGCCTTATTTTCATGGAAACAGGGTAGTAGCATCATAGTGCCATAACCTTGTAGTCAGGTCTCTACATTTGCGAGACCTAAGAGCACAGGGCACCCCAAAAAGTGGGGAAACTGTAATCAAAGCACTATTTGTTGTACTTGAGAGAACACCTTCCAGAAATCTCCAGACCAGAGCTTTCCATACATTTTATGGTACATCATTAATTTTTGAGACATGCATCGTTTTGTGACACAGTAATAATAATAATAATAATAATAATATTTTTTAAACTTTATTTATACCCTGCCCTCTCTCCCGGGAGGGGCTCAGGGCGGTTTAGTTTTACTGACAAAGCATAGGTTAAGTCAACTCCCTATAAGAGATACAGGCACATAAATTGTAATAACGATATGTACGGGAACACAACGTATCTCATGAAATACTTTCATTTATATATATTAAATATAGAATGAATTGCTTTATTCACATAGATTCAGAGGTTTCTCAGGGATGTTTGCACGACACACCCATATGCTAACTTGTCATGACACAGCATTTGGAAAGCTGTGCTCTAGTTTCTTCATCTGGAAGTTCACCAAGGAGTTGTGTCGGAGGACCTGGAGATTCCATGTATATGGTCAATGAATAATCAAATCCACAAAAAGTTAAACCTGTAAATGTGGAGGGCTGACTGTAATGCCAAAAGGGTAATGTGATGGGATAGTGTTTTATCCTACATATTGAGACTTCAGGCTAGTATAGTGTATGGGGACTACCCTCTTGCCTTGCTCCCCGAGGCAACGTTCTCACTCTGCCCAAGGATAAGACTAGCTCTGGCTCTTTCTTCCAGACAGAACTACATCTTTTGTAATGGAATTCAGGAGATCTTGTTAGGACACAAAAATCACAGACCTATATGCACATCGCAATAAATCCCATTGGATTCATTGGGTGGACAGGTGTAGGAGTTGTTAGGGTGAAATGGTATGCACATTTGGGGACTTACACCCCTTTGAACTAGGAGCCCCTGGTGGTGAAATGGGTTAAACCCTAGTGCAGCAGGACACTGACCAAAAAGTCGGTGGTTCAAATCCAGGGTGCAGGGTGAGCTCCTGTCTGTCATCTCCAGCTTCTGATGCGGGTACATGAGAGAAGTGTCCCTCCCAAAGGATGGTAAAACACCCGGGCATCCCTGGGCAATGCCCTTGCAGATGGCCAATTCTCTCACACCAGAAGCAACTTGCGGTTTCTCAAGTCGCTCCTGATACGGAAAAAAACAACAACCTTTGAACTCAGTTATCTGAAAAACAAATTTACATTTGTATTTTCAAGCTATAAAGACAAGGCAGTGGATGGTTCTACATTTTTATAAACAACACAAACTGTTCTAGCTATCTTGCATGTTAAGATGGCTACAAACTGCATACTTTTCCTTTTCTGCAACTCCTATTTTGCTTAATGTTCAGGATGAAGAATAATGTGAGAAAACTTGTTTACGTATCTTCGTGACGTTCTCCTTGTTCCTAGGAAAAGCATTATCCAAGTGTGGTTTTTGGATACACTCAAACTTTGTACGTATATGTTATGGAAAAAAAATGTGATGTTTGATATTTTGTATTTCATATCCCAGATTCCTGATTCTCCCTTCCTTCCAGCAAATCTATGACCTAATGACTTTTTGCAGAGTAGGTGCCTGTTGTCCCCATTGCTGGGATTGTTCAGTTTGCTCTGCTTCTTAACTGTTGTGTTGACATTTACAGTGCAGACTTCATCCGGCTTTCTTGTGTTTGTAATATTAGATTAAACATGTTTATACTATAAAATCCCAATATTATAAATAATCTAAAAATCCACATTCACATCTTTATACACCCACACACATTTTTAACTGGGAGATGGGAATGGAAACTTTTTAAAAATCATGTTTTCATTTTTGTCCTAATAAAAATTAAATGTTATACTTTTCTAGATGTTTATTTCCCTGCCCCCTTCAGTCTGTCACATAACCACAACAACAACAACAAATTGTATTTATTACCAGTCTCTCATGATTGCTTGAAACGAAGTACAACAAAGTCAAAAACATATGAACATAAAATATATACAATAAATTAAATAGATAAAACCACAAAAATATAAAAAAGCCTTGCATCAAACACAGATGCAGAATTGACATATAGTAGCAATAGAATGTCAATCAAAGCACATGATTGAAAGTTGACTGGGTAGGCCTACTGGAAAAAATGGTTCTGAATCCTATACAGTCCTTGAACTCAGATTAGTCAGGAAAAAATAGGAACCAGGCACAGACATGCATCTGGTGGTTGTTGTTTTTAAACAAAATTACTCAAAATAATCCCCAGGTCCTTGATATGCTAAAATAGTTTCTCAAACTGCGCCTCCTGATGTTTTGAATTTCAGCTCCCACCATTCCTAACAGCTGGTAAACTGGCTGGGATTTCTGGGAGCTTAAGTCCAAAAACAGCTGGAGAAGTACAGTTTGAGAAACACTGTGCTAAAAGAAGTAGCTTGACTTTCAGTCACTGATCCTTTCAAATACTTTCCTGATTCCCAGGCCCACTACTAAATGCTTTCCCCACTTTTCCCCTTCTTGTTGAGATTTATGCCAAGTATCTAAAATGCAGTCATGCTGGCTACATGACCTTGGAGGTGTCTATGGACAATGGCAGCACTTTGGCTTCGAAATGGAGATGAGCACCAACCCCAGAGTCGGACATGACTGGACTTAATGTCAGGGGAAAACCTTTACCTTTACTATCTAAAATGTTAGGAGAACTATAGAGCCTTTAAAGTTAGAAACAGCCCTGGATTATGATTTGGATGACGTGATTTTAATTGATGTTTAATAATTGATGTTTTAACTCTTTGGTTTTAATTGTAATTATTTTAATATATGTGTATGGCATCAAATTGCTGCCTGTTGTAAGGCCACCCTGAGTCCCCTTTGGGTGAGAAAGGCAGGGTATAAATATGGTAAATAAAAATTGCAGATTTGAGGAAAATATACAATGTATGGAGGAAAGAAGCAGAAAGAAGAATAGATTAAAATAAATACATAATCTAGCAAGTTGAAAATTGTCTCCTGAGCATTGTTGGACTAGCCGCCATAGCAACATTGAGGAATGCTGGGAATTACAGTCCAAAACAAATAAAGAGCTGCATTGTTCCCACCAATGGTTTCAATTATGAAATTGAGAGAGAGGGAGATGCAGTCGTTCTTGTCTGTTGAATGGATGAAGCCCTTCAAGGCAGACGGAGTTTCTTAAATGTCTGTTTTATTTTCTACCCCCAATAGATGTGTTCATCTGGAGGCAGCCACTGACAGGATGTTTGCCATCCATTTTTCCAATGCTTCCCAGGCACTACCAACCACACACCCGGTGAACAATTCCTCAAGCTACACTGTGCTGGAAAAGTCCCCGTCTTCTCCTGCTTTCCCTATTTTCTCTATGACTCTGGGAGCCGTCTCCAACATTGTGGCCTTGGTTATCCTGGTGCAATCCTATGCCCGTTTTCGACGTCGCTCCAAAGCCACTTTCCTTCTTTTTGCCAGTAGTCTGGTGATCACTGACCTAGCAGGCCATGTCATCCCCGGTTCCTTTGTGTTGCATCTGTACGCCACGCGGCGTGGCTGGGCAGCCATGGACCCTTCTGGAGCCCTCTGCCAGTTTTTTGGAGCCTCTATGGTATTCTTCGGACTCTGCCCTCTTTTCTTGGGTTTTATCATGGCGGTGGAGCGCTGCGTGGGCATCACCCGCCCTTTGTTGCATGCTGCCTTGGTCACTCCAAGACGGACAAAACTTTCCTTGCTAGGATTGTGGGCTGCTGCTCTAGCTATTGCCCTGATGCCCCTCTGTAGGTTTGGGACCTATGTTAACCAGGCCCAGGGTGCTTGGTGTTTCATCAAGGCACAGAAGGTGGAAGCATGGCCAGAGGTGGCCTTTGCCTTACTCTTCTCCTTACTGGGCTTGGCCTCGCTGCTTGCCTCCCTGATCTGTAATACGTTCAGTGGACTCATCTTAGTCCGGGCTCGGCTCCGTGGGCAACGCAAATGTGGGCAACGTCGAGCCAAGGCCCATGACATTGAGATGGTGGTGCAGCTGGTGGGCATCATGGTGGTTTCCTGCATCTGCTGGAGCCCCTTGCTGGTGAGTATTATGGGAGAAGGAGGAGGACACAAGAGTAAGTTGAAATATTGGAAGCCCCTAAAAGGGAATTGGCAGGGGTATCTGCAATGGTAGCATAAGAGAGGAGAGACCAGGGAGACTTTGAGTGGTCTTCTAGAGTTGGTGGTTAGAACTGATGGGTGGTTAGACTGCAGAAAGCATCTTAATGAACAATGGGACTCTGAATTGCCATCTTCGAGAATCCTAATTGAGAAAAGGTGCGATGTTTCTGCAATCCAAGAACCAAAACAAATTGACAGCATCCATGGTTGGCAACCATTTGAATGTCGTGGGAACTCCCTGGTATTACCCCCCCCCCTTTTTTTTCTTTTTTTTCAAAAATATTTTTTTCCAGTTTAGAAGTAAATTGAAAACTTTGAAAAGCTCTCACTGGGGCCTGCAACAGCCCCGGGAGGTCATAAGGGATCATTTCAACATGGTGAAATTACCTCTTATGATACTTCAAGGATTTGGACCAGGTAAATCTTTTCATAAGAGAGATTTTTTAGCTTTTGAACACTTGAGGGTTTGCAATTACCCACCCTGATTTAACTACATCATGTCCAACCAATCCCCTCTCCTGACTGGTTCACAGAGGCGTTTTGGGCCAGGTAAATAGTGATTCATGGACCCAAGCAAGAGAGTCCCTCCTCCCCATAAGTTAAGCAGATTCTTAGATTCCTCGTGTTCTCCCATGAGCTGTAGTCAATGAGTTAACCTCCCATCTCTCAGTTGTGCCCAGAGGAGCTAAAAATCCTTACTAGACAACCACATTGTTGTGTGTGGATGCCAGAGTAACCACTAGATACAATTCTATGGTTGTGTGTGGAGGATTTTAGGGCCACTGGAGACAGGTGAGGTGGTAGGATGCTAAAGGACTCCTGCAGATGTACTTATTAGCTTCTCACACTGGTCCTTCTCTCTTCTGTTCCAGGTCTTTGTCATTTTATCAGTGAGCAACTCCCATGGAGATCTGGATTATGGCAAGCTGCTGTTCCTTGGAGTGCGCTTGGCTTCTTGGAACCAGATCCTGGACCCTTGGGTGTACATTCTGCTGCGGCGTGCTGTGTTGCGCAAGATCCTTGCTGTACTTCTGCGGCGCTCTACTGCCAAGGGGATCCGCTTTGACCGTTGGGAGGCCAGCTCCTTCCAAAGCTCAGAGCGTAGTGTTGCTGCTGGCCGCATGTAGCATGGATTAGACTGCTAAAGATTGTACAAGGAGCACTTTGCCCAGAGCCTCTGTGGAAATCCTGCAGAACAGTCTCACTGGCGTCCAACATCTGGGTGCTTTGGCTGGTGGTGCTCCAGTATGGGGGACAAAGGAGCCATTATGCACTTCTTGGTTTACACTAGCACAAAAGGGGTGTCTGTGGGACCCAAAGCTGAGGGAGCAGAGTGTGGTGTTGGCCAGGTTGGAATTTCCTTGTGAATAAGAGGCACCTTTTGAGTAACTTGCCAAGGAATGTTGTAACCCTTTTGTAGGGAAAGGTCATTACTGGGTGGCGAGTGAGGATGTGTTCAGATTTCAAAAGGTCCTAGGATCAATTCCTGGCCCCTGAGTTATGCAAGGCCTGGGAAAAAGCTCCACTTCAAGTCTTGGAAAACCACCAGTATTTAAAAAATATTCTTGGCTGCATAAAGCAACAATAATGACTCATTGCAAATCAGTTTTGCATTTTCTGGCAATGATGGGGAAGAATGCCATGATTCAGTATATACTGAATGCAGGCAATGCTTCCTAATGCAAGCTGTGAACCCTTGCTTGAGATCTTTATAGCTGTTAGGGCCAAAGTTCAAAGTAGCAGGATGCTGGTGGTCCAGAGCAGGTTGCCATCTCTGACTTCCTTGTAGGATTCAATTGCAGCCTCTCCAGAGAGCAAGGGACATTCGTGGATTGGTTCCAAATCTAACAGATGGCAGTGGTAGCCCAAAAGGTGACCCTGATTTAGCATCCTTCCTTTTGCTACTTGGTTCAGGCAGTTTATTTTCCAGATGCAGGTGTGGGACATTTTGAGCATTCTGCTGCACCTGCTGCCTTGCAATGCTCTGGTCACTCGGACCTCATCAAGTCCTTTCCACATCCCAATGAAGAGGCTGCTGAATTTCTGTGCTGTGCATGGAAAGCCAGACATAGCACTTTGCAACTCTCTTGTGCAATAGAGGCAATCTGTATAAGTGTCCTTGTACCCACCTTTCACACTGTGCTAGGTGCTGTGCATGAATCTGTTGAAGAGGGCAGCTCTAGGGCACATGGGTGGCATTTCTTGAGATGCAAATGTGGGCATTCCAGGAAGCCCCTGCATAGGTGAAGTGGGCTAGAAATGTACTCCCCAAAAACACCTAAAGGTTATCTTGCACCCTTAAAGGCTTTGCACTTTGGAGAAAAAAGCCTTCCAAGCTTGGTGGGTTCCTATGGCATAGTGGGAGAACACTATTGGGCCCTGCATGTATCTCACTCAGGTGGGGGCTGTTGAGAAGTTTGCACCTTTTCGGAAGAGTGGGCCTGATTGATGGACTAACTGTTGGGTGCCTGTGGATATCAACAAATTTGTACTCTCAGATGCTGCAGACTGGCTCCTGGACTGTGGTGCCAGGGATGCAAGGATCTGGAGCAGATAGCTCTGCAGACTCTAGGAGGAGCTGCATCTGGGGCATCCTAGGACTCTGGCCTATGAGCATTGTTCATTAGCGCTGGTCGCTTGGCAATAAAGCAAACCTGAAGAGTACCCTGGATGGTTGTGCCTGATTTGTTTTTGTATCATTGACTTGGTCCCAAATTCCTGACTCTGCTCTATCACTCAGTTGTGAGGTCTCTCTGCCCTGCCTGTTGTCCTTTCCTCTTGGGGGTAGTGTGGCTCATAGGGTAGCTGCTGCTTTGGTTTGGGCTTATGTGTTGGAGCTTTGGCCAAGCCAAGTTGAAATCTGGCAACTGGCTTCAGCAGCAAAATCTTACACAAAGCAGACTATAATGCTCCATCATATAGTTCCATGCCTGTTTCCTGCAGTCTGTTTTATTTTTTCACTTACAAGCTACAGAAGGGTATCCTGCTGCTCTACCTGTTCCAAAACTTCCTCCCCAGAGCTGTCAAGCTCAGGAGGGACAGTCACTGCTACTGCCCAGCAGAAAGGAGAAGAGAAAACAGTTCAGACCTTGGCAAATGTGTTCATTTTGGCTGAGAGGGAGAAGGAAGTGGGAGTGGATTCAGAGTGCACTGTACTGTCCCTGTACCTTGGAGCTATATCATCTGAATTGCCTCCCTGCCAGCAAACACTGGCGGCTTTGGGGGGGGGGGGGGCTCTGAATGTTGTGAAAAGGGCTAGAGAACAACTTGCACACCATTTTAAAAAATACACATGGCTTTAAACATTTGAATGTCACTAACACTGAATTCAGGCATTATCCCAGACAGAAGAGCAAGGGTATGGGAGGCAACCCTGTGACCCACCTCTCATGTTCAAATATTGTCTCTGGAGCCACATCCTATAATTGCACCTGAACTGTCATCTCCTCAGATCAGGACAGTGCAACTGAGGCATGGATCACCTGGCATCTTTTATTATGGATTCCTCCCAGCGCAATCGACATACATGGTGTCAGTTTATTGGAGATTCAAAAATCTTGTCACTTGAAAACACAAACTGGAATTCATAGGTGTCATGCATGATGGAGGCTTGGAAAGCTAACGTAGCAGTGGGGGAAGAACACCTAATAGGCCAGGCTGGCCAGCAAGCAAGCAGAATTTGGTGGGAATAGGGCAGCTCCCTTTTGGTAAACTTGGCGGGGGGCACTCATACTGCAAGGAAAGGAATTATTGTGGGATGTTTTGAGATGAGACACAGTGAGATATATGAACAGATTTGCATCACGTGTCTGCCTTCTGAGAAGTATCTTGCTGGTTGCTGCTGAAACAAAGCTTTGATCTGATCCAGCAGACAGTTTGGGGTTCTGACACCAGCTGCTTTGGGATTTGGTTCCCCCTAGCGGCCGATATGGGTACTATTTTAACATCCAATAAGCAGAAGCACTGGGAAAGCTATGAACGTCTTGCAGTGGCCAAGCCAAGGGGAAGCCACTGATTGAGGGGTTGGGCCTTGTGTGTCAGGAACAGGCCTCTGAGGTGTTTTGGCTGTAATAGCTCAATAGATATGTTACGAGGGTGCAATCGGTGTTGGCCCTCAAGCACCACATCTTATATTAAAGAGTACAAGAACTATGGACACTACAGGGCCATGTGTTTCTTGCACCATCAGTTGTAGAGGTCATCATCCCCTTCCTCCTGAAAGAGATTTCCTTGGCCACCGCTGCTGCTGCCGCCGCCGCCACCACCACTCCCACTGCCACCACTACTGCCACTCTGCTTTCCAGATGGAAACCTGTGGAGAGTAAGAGAGTAGTGCTAGTTATTCGTGGGAGAATGTTGGACTACTACCATTCAGTGAGTAGTGATCCAGTTGTATTCAAGGATTAACAAGATGCAAGCAACTAGTTAGTTGTGTATACATCCAGAACAGAATAAAAACAGCTAGGCCAAGCAACACGGAAATACTGCAACCTCATCCAGGGATACTTTCTGATGCACATTGAGGATATGGCTACAGTTTCTAATGTAATGTCTACAAACAAGCCTGTTCAAACATGAATCAGGAAAACTGTTTACTGGACGCTGTCTAGTTGATTTTATTAATTTGAATAGTCACTCCGTTTCTGAAGTTTAGGATTTGAGTGCATTTGCTTATCTCAGCAATAGGAGCCTCCAGTGGCGCAATGGGTTAAACCATTGTGTTGGCAGGACTCCCGGCTGAAAGATTGGTGGTTTCAATCCAGGGAGGGGGTGAGCTCCCAACTGTAAGCTCCAGCTTCCTATGCGGGGACATGAGAGAAGCCTCCCACAGGATGATAAAACATCCAGACTTCCACTGGGCAATGTCTTTGTAGACGGCCAATTCTCTCACACCCGAAGTGACTTGCAGTTTCTCAAGTTGCTCCTGACATGAAAAAAAAGTGATAGGCAAAGTGTGGGCCACATGTGGCTCCTGGGGTCTCCTACTTACTGACTGCTGGCCAGTAAGTGGGAATGGGAGAAGAGGAGTCAAGTTAGGATTTACTATGTAGCTATGTAGCACATAGAGCATTTCAGCATACAAAATTCAATAAAAGCATTAGAAAATAAGGCTAATTGTCAATTGAAATAGTCAGTAGGGTGCCTGGGCCAACAACTATTGCCAATAGTAGCAATATCCAGTTACAGGAGAACTGGGTTGCTGTGATTTTTTGGGGGGGCTGTATGGCCATGTTCCAGCAGCATTCTCTCCAATAGAGGAGAACTCCTAATCTCATTCCATCTGGTGGTGGCCACAACAGAGAAGGCCCTCCTTCAGGATGTCACTGAATGAACTTCACTAGATACAGTATGCCTTTTTTTCTTGTAATCTTCCTTAAGAGTCCTGCTGAGGTATGCAGTGAATGAATAATAACATTTCTCCTCTTCTATGGAGACCTCTCTTCATGGCATGCTGAAGGAAGAATCATACAGCTATTCAGAGGTAGTTGGATGGCAACTCCTATCAGCCTTAGCCTTGCAGCAACATTTGGAATACTTTGTTCACCCCTGAGCTATTGGCATGTGAGTATTTTCTAGGCACGAGCATTCACAGAATGGCTTCCCAGCCTGTATAACAGTCAAGTTGAAGTTTATGAAGTTTAACATTAGTGGAGGAGGAGGAGGAGGAGGAGAAGGTTTTTCTAATGTTACCTGAAATTCCCAAAGCCACGGCTTTGCTGTAGTGTCTGAGCAAACATCTCATACTTGCGTATGTCATTATCACTGACTGAACGGCGTGCAAAACGCATCGCTTCCTCAAAGTGATCACGTCTGATTTCTGGCACAGGATCATAATCATCGTCCTGTTACAAAGGACAAGAAAGGACACCATCAGTCCATGTCCTTCGGAGTGTCACAGATGTACAAAGATGTAATGCGATGGTCACAAGATTGGTAATAGATATAAAGGTTCTTGAAACTCATGCCATGCATGTTAGCAGGGCCAAGGGCAGAGCTTGAGACTCTGGCAAAGACCCAGGTGGAAAAGCCCAGTTCCCGTACCATAGCAGCATATTTCGAACGCTGCCGTTCCCGCTCTGCCTTGATCTCCATCTCAATTGCTTCACGGATGGCAAGCTTGCAAGCCCGCTGGCATATTTCAGTGAGGTCAGCCCCTGAGAAGCCATGTGTGATCTTGGCTAGATAATTCAAATCCACATCCTGTTGATAAAGAAACAGGATACGTGAATAATGCCATCTCGGAAGAAACATTTCCATTCAAAAAAGTGCACATCCCTCCATACAATGCATTCTTGGAAAGCACTTGGGGGTGGGGTCCAGGGGATGGGATCTGAATACAACCACTTCTACCACCACACCATTTCACCTTCCTTCCCCTATTTTTTTAGATTCTTAACCAAAGTTAATCCAGACCTTGGCAACTGGTGACTTTCGCAAGTTGGCTTGCAGAATGGCCACACGGGATTTCTCGTCAGGCAACGGGATGTAGATGAGCTGATCTAGGCGCCCTGGGCGGAGGATGGCTGGATCAATGATGTCAGGTCTGTGGGCCAAAGAGAAGAAGTCAATTCTGTGGCTGCCATTCTGGTGCCAAGTGAAAACCTGGTTGTGTAGTGAGGCCTTTGGTTTTACACAATTATGGATGTGGGTATACTTTCTAATCCTTTTGAACCACGTTAAACAGTTTTAATTTAATTTCTTTAACTCTTTTTAACCTTTTTAAAATACTTACTTGAATTGTTTACACTGTTTTAAACTGCCCTAATTAACTTTATTTTATATTGCCCTGAGACTTTTAGATAATGTAAATAATCAATCAATTAATTCATCAATCAGTTCTTGTTTCTTGGTTGATTGGCAGACAAATGCCTCCGATCTGCAGTAGCAGAGCCTAATGTATCCCCGTCTTCTTCCAGTCAGAGGTACTGAACTACAACTTCCATCAATTGGCATGATCATGTTAGCCAGGATGATGGGAACTATAATTCAACATACCCTGAGGACATTAGCTTAGAAAAGGCCAATATAGTCATTTTTATGGATCTAGCCCTCCAACAAAGTTTCAGCTCTGTCCTTGGGATCACCCGAGCAAATACTTTAGAACACAATCTAGGCACTGAATGTCTTTGTTGGTACTGAGAAAAGTTACTTCTTCTTCTTCTTCTTCTGTTTGTATGTTTGTTGAATTAATACCCCATCTTTCTCACAGGATGTGATCCAAAGCAACTATAACCTTCCTTTTTGTTTCTGATGGTATGCCACGTGACTAGCAATAATAAAATACACATCTTAATTAAAACGTAACATGAAAACAAGTAAAAACATACCAAAATACCCCATAACAATAAATGGTATAGACCAGCTTACATAGTAAAGGCATGACACAATGAAAATGCCTTTACTTGCTGACAGAAGGACAAGAAAGGAAACATTCCTTGCCTCTCTTGGTAGAGAAAACCCAAGTGCAGCCACAAAGAAGGGACTTTCTTGTGTTCTCATGAGACATGTCTCCAGTGGTCATGGGACAAACAAAAGACCCTCAATAAAGATCTTAAAAGTAGCGCAGGCTATTAGAGGAGTATGTAGTCTTTCAAATGGCCCTTTCCAAAGACATAAAAGGCTTGTTTTGTAAAGAGTCTCATTCACATTGTTTACCTCTCACTTGTGCCCAGAATTCTATCCTCCTTTTTCTTCCTCCCTTCTGGAGGCTCCTACCTGTTGGTGGCACCTATGATGAAAACTGTCTTCTTATTAGTCATGCCATCCATTTCTGTGAGGATCTGGTTGATGACACGGTCAGCTGCACCTCCACCATCACCTGCTCCACCACCCCGAGCTTTGGCAATAGAGTCCAGCTCATCAAAAAACAGTATACAGGGAGCAGCTTGCCGGGCCTGGGGAACAAACAATATTAATGTATGCTTGGTGATAGAAAAAGAAAAATGGGACTCTTCAGTATTGTGTTAGTGTTCAAGGGTTCTAAGTCCTTCTCATATACTACATTTCAGTAATATATGGGTTGGCAAGTTGTGTCCTCTGTTCAAGTAAACAAATAAATAAAAAACTGGTCTTCCCCAGATGGACTAAAAGGCATTAAAGAGTTAGATATAAAACTTGAGTGGGCTAATCATTAGGCTGCTGATAAAACCATGGAACAAACTAGGAGCAAGACAAATGGTGGAACAATGAGGTCAGAAACTAATACTGAAGAACAAACATTGGAGTAAGGCGGGGTAGAATGTCTGAAACATAAAATAATAAAATAATCGACAATTCTTAATTAATCATGACATTCCACTAGTGGCTTCCCTTAGTAGAAAGAGGGCTATAAACACCTTGTGCCTTAATTTCCCTACCATTTTTTTTAATCCCCAACAAAAGTTCAATTTATTATCCACTCTCCCTCTTTTCTTTTCATTATTGGGTCAAACTTGTATCCTCCATTTCCCTGCCCTCTTCCTCCACCCCAACTTCTCACCTTGTCAAAGACATCACGGACGTTGGCCTCACTCTCTCCAAACCACATGGTGAGGAGCTCAGGGCCCTTGATGGAAACAAAGTTGGCTTGGCATTCGTTTGCAATGGCCTTGGCCAACAAAGTCTTGCCACAGCCAGGTGGTCCATAGAAGAGAACACCCCGAGAAGGTGTCATTCCAAACTTCAAGAACTTATCAGGATATTCCACAGGGAACTGGGGAGAATAAGAGAGAAAGGGGTTAAGAAGTTGGTCCTAATCCTTTAGAGTGGTTCTCAACCTGTGGGTCCCCAGGTATTTTGACCTACAACTTCCAGAAATCCCAGTCAGTTTACCAGCTGTTAGGATTTCTGGAAATAGAAGGCCAAAACATCTCGGGACTCACAGGTTGAGAACCACTGCTTTAGAGCTACTTTTTAGACCAGTGGGAGTAACTTAGAAAAGACAGTCTTCCACAATTGCAAGTACTCTTTCATTACTTCCTAGTACTGTAAGGACAACAGTAGAAGAAACATGGAGATCTAGGTCAGGTGGATAACAACATAATCATCCCTGCTAATGAAAGAGTCCTGGAACTATGACTCCCATTAGCGCTGGCTCTGCTATGCCACTCTTTAGAGGCCTCTGCACAAAAATCTAAATGAAATGCGAATTGCTCCTGCTGTTGCTGTGGCTACCAATAACTGGGCTGGTTAGAGCCATGGAATACTCCTACTAACCTGTACCAGCTCCTGTAACTCCCGTTTGACTTCCTGCAGGCCCCCAATATCATCCCAGGACACCTGTGGCACTTCCACCACAGTCTCCCGAAGGGCTGAAGGGTTGCTCTGACCAAGGGCCCACTGCAAAGCACAAAGACAGCAGGTCAGCAGTGCGGTGGACATGGTAGCAGACACAAAGCACTGCAACAGGTACCTCTCTTTTGGAGGTCACTGCTTTCTTGGGTTACATTTCCCAGCTTATTGTCCACAATGAAACCAGATCATTCAAACAACGTGAATAATGTTGACAATTTGCTACTCTATAGACAAAATTTAGATGTACATTTGCAACAAAATATGTTTGAAGCTGCATTATGTCACCCGTGTAGACTCAGTGAAATCCAGGCAAGCTTTTTGACATCAAATGGTGTTATAACACTGAGTAGCTATATCAAAATAAGAATATATTATTCTTATTTTGTTATTGCTGTTTCTATTTTTAGAAGCCTGTTTCTAAAGAAGACTCTAGGTGCCTTACAGATAAAACATATAAAAGTCAAAACCAGTGAAATGGCATACACATATAATATAAAGCAACACTACTGCTCCCAAAAATACAGCCCAGAAACTATACAACATACCAAAGATTATTATGTTGGAGTGAGGTGAGCTTCTCAGAACTAGCATTCATTCTGTTCATTTTTAGAACTCTGCCAATGAAGCTAAAGCAAACGAGCATTGGTAATTATGAATGCGTGCATCTGATCATAAACATCTTGCTCCTGGTATGATGGGGCTGGCCTACCTGGAAATCATCCATAGTGACAGCCATGGAATTGAGGATGTCAGCATCAATGGTGTCATCCTCCAGGTCAATGACGCTCATCTTCTTACGGATTGCTTGGAGAGCTGCCTCCGAACACAGAGCTGCCAGGTCAGCACCCACGTGCCCGTGGGTCTCATTGGCCACCTGCAACCACAAAGCAGATGTCCTAGGATAAAACTCTTTACATTCCCAACCCTCACTAATAAAGCTAAGAAAGACTCCAACCTGGATTCCTACAGAGCACCTTCCAGTCAATATTGGCAATATAGGGTTACTGCATAACTCAACTTATATTCCTGTATCTAATGTCACCCTTTGGAGCTGTCAGTGTGCTGTTTAACCCCACTTTCTTCAGTGTGTGCACACAGGCAGCATTAATCAGATAGTCCTTACTGTGTAGTGAAGATTCTCTAGAGTTCTCTAGTACTCCGATATCCACGTATCATATCAGAGCTACAGCTCTATTTTCTTTCATGGTGTTACAATTTTGCAAAAAGGAATACAGCTATTACTATTTCTCCCTCCCAATCACACAGGAAAGGTTCACATAAACAAGAAAGTCTATCACTTGATTTTGAAACCCTTGATTAATGTAGGAAGTGATGCCCTTCGAAGGCATTGTGCAAGACATTTTGAGAGTCCCAGCTGTTGCATTTGATGTCTGGCAGGTCTTTAAACTGTGACAGGATGCTTGTGTGAACCATATTTATAAATAACATTTTGTTATATCTTTGATTGTATCCTTAATTATTCCAAGGAGGTCCTTCCTTCCCCGCAGACCTCCATTCTCCATTTCTCACCCTCTCCAGGTCCACATCATCAGCTAGCTTCATATTCTTGGTATGAATCTGTAAGATTTCCAGTCTTCCCACTGAATCTGGGATTCCAATGTCAATTTCTCGATCAAACCGCCCTGCAAAGGAGAGACAAACACTGAGCCCAGGCTCAAAACCAGTTTTCCCCAGCTCTGCTACACCTAACTAACATATTTTTTGAATGGGGGACAAGTTAACTTGGGGACAAGGGGTGCAAAATGCGTACTTTGGCAGGTCATGACCATGGCCTCAGGCAGGGACTACATTCCCCATGATCCCCCCCCCCCACACAGATATTTTCTTCTTAATACAAAATATATATCCTCTAAACCTTATAGGGATCCGTGGAGAGTTAATCCTATTAGTTTTGAAGCCCACCATCCTATTTTAGATGCAGATGCTTTGCCCAATCCTAGTCTTATGGGTTAAGCAGGAATGATAGAAAGCTATAATTCACAAGAGTCAGTTCCTTGGGCTGAGAGCTAAAATACAAAGACAATGAAAAGAAATTTCATTTTGTATTCTTAGAGCAAGTTGTGATAATGACTTCATTTTAAATATATTTTCACCCAAGGAAGAGTTCCCTACCAAACCGGCGAAGGGCAGGATCAATACTGTTGGGCCTATTGGTAGCAGCCATGACTATCACATGCGACCGCTGTTTCAAGCCATCCATGAGCGTGAGCAGCTGGGAGACGATGCGCCGTTCCACTTCCCCATGAGTCTGAAATGGGGAGATAAAAGGGAAAAGGAACATCATCCCTAACTCTGATGCCCAAAGCAGAAGAGTCAACATGGGACAATAAGAAGCCTAAAACTGGGAGTGCAGCACCCTCCAGTGGTCAATTTACATGAACCAGTTGTAGTAGACAGGAGCAGGTGGAGCCAAGGTGAGAGGAGCAAGGGGAAAATAATAATAATAATAAGTTTTATTTATACTCCACCACCATCTCCCCAATGGGGACTCGGAGCGGCTTACATGAGGCAAGCCCAAAGCAACAATTACAATAAAGAAAAACCAAGACACAACCAAAAACGTGAACAATAAACAATAACATCATAATTACATAAAAAATATGGATACATAACAATGTAAAAAATACAATAGACGCAGGCACAGTAACAATGGGTGGGCTACATGTAATGATTAAAAGACAATGATTAAAACTAATTAAAAACTCGGGTGAGATAAAAGAAACTGTGAATGTGTTCTTCAGGGACTATGTATCTGGCTCCATGTTAGTAAATAACATAAGCTTTAAAAGCTTCTCAGAGTGTCAGAAAAGTACTGAGGAGATCTTTAAAATATTATTCTTAGACTTTATTTATTCTTTTTTTGAGCTGCCTTGGGTCCCAATTCAAGAGAAAGGAGGCATACACATGAAATAGAGAAGAATGCAGCTAAGCTCACAGGACACAGGCAGATATTATTTTTTTGGAGGGAGGGAAGCAATAGACATCATCTGCCCTGCTAAACCATGCAGTAAGGCTTCCCTTTACCTTCTCTCTCTTAGGAGCAATGGCATCTAGTTCATCAATAAAGATGATGGCTGGGGCATTCTTCTCAGCCTCTTCAAAGGCTTTGCGCAAGTTGCTCTCTGACTCCCCAGCCAACTTGCTCATGATCTCTGGACCTGTAGAAAAATAGACAGGATGCAATGATAGGCGGGGTTCTTCAGAAATAATGAAGAAGACCCCTAGGGATGGACTTTCATCCCCCCCCCCCCGCCGCCCCTTAATTTTATTGTCTCAGGAAAAACTTTGCCAGTTCTAATCGTGCCTTTTTGTGGTCACATAGCCTAGCGTTTATAGCAGGAACCCCAAATTCTATTCCATCACTCTGTTTATAGCACTTGAATAGTCATCCTCATGTAATTCCGGGTGCTGGGAGGGATCGGAACAGGATGTTCAGGATGAACAGCTTTCTTGAAGACTTTCCCACCTCACCTTGCCACGCCCTTGACTCACCATTGATAAGGAAAAAGAATGCTCCGGTTTCATTTGCAACTGCACGGGCCACAAGGGTTTTTCCAGTGCCAGGAGGGCCGTAGAGAAGAATCCCTCGTGGAGGCTGAAGAAGAAAAAGAGAGGAAGCTAAGGAATCATCCAAGATGCCCGTTTATATTAAGTATTATGTTGACTGATACTCTGGCGGCTGTTATGCCTTGGGTCTTCTCCAGCTCTGGCTGTACCTTCACACCGATAGCTTTGAAGAGTGCTGGGTGTCGCAAGGGAAGCTCCACCATCTCCTTGATCTGGGCCAGTTGTTTACGGCAGCCTCCAATGTCATCATAGCCAACATCATTGAGGCTCTCCTCTTCATCCTGACAAAACAGAAGGATGAACTCAAAGATGGTCGCCTCTTTGGGCAGAACTGTCCTTGCTTTCCTCCAAAGCCTACACCACACTCGTAGAATCATAGAATCACTGAGTTGGAAGAGACCTCATGGGCCATCCAGTCCAACCCCCTGCCAAAAAGCAGGAAAATCACCTTCAAAGCACCCCCGACAGATGGCCACCCAGCCTCTGCTTAAAAGCCTCCAAAGAAGGAGCCTTCACCACACTCCAGGGCAGAGAGTTCCTCTGCTGAACAGCTCTCACAGTTAGGAAGTTCTTCCTAAAGTTTAGGTGGAATCTCCTTTCCTGTAGTTTGAAGCCATTTCTCCATGTCCTAGTCTCCAGGGCAGCAGAAAACAAACTTGCTCCCTCCTCCCTGTGACTTCCCTTCACATATTTATACATGCTGAATGTTTTGTGGGAGACTCATCCTTTACCCCCACCCCACCCCCACCCCACCCTGCTTCACCCTTTGTTTCCTCATCAAAGTTTACATTTGGCCTGGATGCACTTCCCCAGTGCAAATTTTGTACGACAAATCCTACTCTTAGAAATTTTGTCTCTGTGCCTGCCAAATTCAAGGATGTTCCGATAAGCTCTGCAAAGAAACATTCTGCCCAAACATCATTGACAGATGTTTCAGCCCTGATGTTGTTTAACTGCTGTACTTACTTCTCGTTTGATGGGCTCCCCTTCACAGTGGATAATGGTGTCAGGAGCAACAATGCAGTGAGGGCTGGGATCCACCTCTACGACTTTAAATTCCACAGCTCTCATTCCACCTCGCACCAGAAAAATGTCACCTGCACAGAAAACAAACAAACAAACAAAAAACACTGTCCAGTTCATTCTGCTGATCAGAACTCACTCTATTATTAAAAACACAGAATTGTTATTCATTAGTTTAGCAGTGTTGTCACTAATGTTAGTTTTATATTGATGCATATTATAAAGAGCTTTGAAAAACACGTGATTGGCTACCAATTACCCAAAATTGTCCTTTAAAAGGTGAGTGTTTTACAAATAATGAATACATATTACTCATTACACCTCAAAACCATATGGTAGTGTTAAGAGGCCATCATTATATCCTTGTTAGAACCGCAAAGTAGCATGTTACAAGTTAGCAATGTTATTTGAAGAACATAACTACCAAGCTCTGCTTTGGTTATGAAATAAAGGTGGTGCCCTATGATAAAAACAAGGATAGAGAAAGGTTACCCCCTACTATAAAGCAAGATACCCCAGCACATAGTCCCCATTTGTTCTGCCAAGCACTCTCCTCCCTCTTGATCCATGCACAGGTTGAGAAAGTATTTCCTGTTTAATCACCCTTCCTAGTACTTAAGAAGGTGGATCTAAGAGGGCTCTGGCATGGTTTTCTGGAACAGTGACTTTCTGATCTCTTTCTTCCTGATGGCCACCACTTTAGCAGCCATGGCTCAATGCTGAGGGAGGTGAGAGATGTAGTTTTACAAGACCTTTAGCCTTCTATCCCAAAAAGTGCTGCTGCTTCACTAAAGTATGAATTCCAGGATGGCACTGAACCATGGCAGATAGAGCAGTGTTAAACTGGATTAATCCTATAGTGTAGACGTACCCTTAGTTGTATATTCCTACATAACACTCTCTCATACAATTCTATATTACCTCCTGAGAGGTGGTATGTTCTTAATGGGAGCTAGTGGAAAAAGAGAGAAGTCAGAGGTTGTGGTGGCCTATCCAAGGCTTGTGGACTGTAGCATTTGTTCCATCATGTCCTATACTGAAAGTAGGTCTACTTGGAAATATTTCTCATAATTACCGTCTTCATTGAAAACTTCCTTTGCAAAACCTCATGATAAATCCATTGGAATGGCTTTCTCCTCTCAGGCAACATGGAAGGGTGAGGGGAGATGGTCTTGGAAAGTATCTTACAAGAGCAGAAAACACAGGGCGGGGATCGGCTCTAGCCCCATAGACTGCAGTAGTTTTTGCCAGCTCACCTTTGTGCACAGGTCGATAGGCTTCCAGAAAGTAGGGTTTCAGGTAAACTTCAAAAAGATTCCCAGTCAAGCCTGCAATAGTGTCATCAATGGGCAGGACATGGATCCGTTTTCCATATTTCACATCTGGGCAGGCCTGCACACTATACAGAGGAAGACACAGTTGACCTCCATAACAACACAGCAAAGCTTACAGACCCCTTTAAGGTAAAGGTAAAAGTTTCTCCTGACATTTAGTCTAGTTGTGTCTGACTCTGGGGGATGGTGCTCATCTCTATTTCTAAGCTGAAGAGCTGGTGTTGTCCATAGACACTTCCTAGGTCACGTGGCTAGCATGACTGCATGGAGCACCATTAGCTTCTTGCCAAAGCGGTACCTATTGATCTACCCACATTCGCATGTTTTTAACTGCTAGGTTGGCAGAAGCTGGGCCTAACAGAGGAAGCTCACCCTGCTCCCTGGATTCAAACCACCAACCTTTTGGTCAACAAGTTCAACAGCTTAGCGGTTTAACCCAGTGCACCACAAGGGGGCCTTACAGATCCCTTTAGAGTTGCCCCAAATCCTCTAGCAGAGCAATTTCCTGGGCAGCCACATTTCTGTCATTTTTGATAACCCTTACTAAGATCTTTTAACAAGTTTTTATTTTTTAATTTGTGTGTTTGTGCACGCATACACAAACACACAAATATGAATTTACACAAGCAAATTATCACTGATTAGAGCTGTCTTTCTATTCTTTTAAAATATTATATTTAGCTTCACATTTTGCAGCGTTGTGCCCTTTGCTGCCCAAGTCTTCTTGACAGTGGCTCAATTTCCTCTTTCCCCACATTCTTCTCCTGCACTGTGTCAGACTATATCTGTCACTCTTCACCAAGACCTTACATGACATAAGATAGTTTACAGAACTGTTCTATCAGTGTTTCAACTTGGGCCAGCCTTACCTGACCACATCTCCAAGACGCACACGGAGGTTGTTACGGGTTACACGGTTCATGCGGATCTTCTCGCTCTGGCAGGAGTCATCTGTGAGAACAATGCACACGGTCTCCCGGCGCTTCTTTCCCTTCAGCAGCACTGTGTCTCCCCGGAACAAGTGCAGTTCCTCCATCTTGGCCTGCAGAAAGCCAAGAATGGAATCAGTCTAAGAAACCATCCAGTTAATTGACATATAGATGTTTGTGTGCGTGTATCCATGTGGTCTGTTGGTGCAAAATTTAACACTGTATATTTCTGCATATTCATAATGCTGTTTGTCGCAGTGTTCCTGGAGAAAATTAAGTCAGTAGCACATCTTTGTGTTTTGATGCCTGCTGGTTAATTTAATATATTGTTGTGAGTTCATACCACCTGCTTGCATCATTTTCTCATAATTTGGCAGACATGGGCTGCATATCAAATTCTTGATAACAGAAGATCATCATGAATAATACATACTTCCTGGTCTAGTGCCATAGCTGTTCTCTAGTTTCCCAGAAACACAAACATTAAAGTTTAAGAAGATTTTTTTCCCATTTTGTCGCAGTGGTTATTTTGATTTCTTTTGCAGTGTGTGATCCTGTAAATCTTCCACAAAACCATACCTTGATTATCTGATCTGCTTCTCCTGTTTCGATTGCTCCTAAATTCTTTGAAACCTTAGAACAGAGATCTTTAAAACTCTAGAGGCTCCTGAACTGACAATGTACAACAGTCTTCCCAAGCCTGCTGTCCTTCAGATGTTTTAGACTTTGTTGTTGTTTTTGTTACCTTGAAGTCATATCTTACTTATGGCAGCCCTAAGGCATTTTTGGGGTTGGGGGCTTGGGTCTTTCTAAGGTCAGGTAGTGCATTTTCAAGGCCAAGTGAGGAACTGAACCTTATCTTAGTCTAACATTCAGACCATTACACCACACTTCCCATAACCCCACAATTTGTTTATGAGACATATGTGGTCCAATACATTGTGATGGTGCTACATTGGGCAGGCTGCTATATATAATCTGCTCTTCTAAGAAGTCCATTGTATCAGACAGACAAACCAGTCTTTGCACACTGACCTCTTTGTATTTTGTAGACAATCCTCACATACACTTCCCTCTTTTACAGATCCTTCCACTTCTGCCATTAAGGTCTTTAATATCTTCCCCAAGAAAATTTGTAATAGGAACTATTACAAATATGCCTAGCCTTTCTTTCTATTTTCCTCCTGGAAATTTAGGCAGCCAGTTTCCCACAAACATACAGTTGATAGGATCTTTATCTTTGATCAATGAGCCTTTGCCCTGGCTTATTCTTCTACTACATTATCCTTAGATGCACTAATAGCCCATTTTTTGCTTAAGGATACGATGGCAGTCCTGCTATTTGAGGAAGCCAACTGGATATTTGCTCAATCTTATTTCACCACCAGTTGACAGAATAGCATTGTCCATGACATCTGTGGAAGCAGCAGAACACCAGCTATCCCACAGTGAGGTGTCCCAGACTGCTGCCATGCAAACCAGGCAAAAGCCATTGTGTAAGAAAAGACCAGATGCCTCTTTAAACAACTCCACCAAATATATAACATTAGTGTAATTGGGGGTCACATCAGCATAGCATCTTGGGAAATGAGAGGCATACCAGCTATGGAGAATGTGATGATGGCCTAGAGCAGTGGTTCTCAACCTATGGGGTCCCCAGGTGGTTTAGCCTACAACTCCTGGAAATCCCAGCCAGTTTACCAGTTTTTAGGGTTTTTGGGAGTTGAAGACCAAAGCATCTGGGGACCCACAGGTTGAGAACCACTGGCCTAGAGGGTGCTTCATTTGACTATAAATTTTAGTATACCAGATAGCTATTGGTTTACTGGAGACAGAAAAGTCAGGACAGTGAGTTTCTCCTCACCTGGGACAGGCTCACAATACTGTTGTCCTCATTGGCAGCTTCATCCACAATGAGGCGATTCGGACGATGTTTCTGCCGGAGGATAGCTGTGGAATAATCCTCTCCCTTGGCCCTGGAGGAGGAAACAGAAGAGTTTCTCTGATCATGCAACAGCAGAGGAAAGGGTCAGGGAAGGGAGGGCACAGTATATACCTACAAATGTTCTCAAACTGTGGTCCTCCAGATGCTTTGGACTTGGATTCCTATAGGCTTCAGCCAGTATGGGCAATGTTCAGAAATTGTGAGAGCTGAAGTCTCTTACACTTGGAGGAACACAGTCTGGAAACCACTGATATACCTGTACTGCTGTAGATACTTTGACAGTGGAGGCAAAAACAGGAGAGGCAAGAAGAAAAAGGTAGTGGCAAAATTAAAGGAGGAAAAAGGAGGCGGCAGCAGGATGGAAATGGTAATTAAGGCAAGAATAGCAGGGATAAGTACCGCAGAAACTAAACTTCCAAGAAGCAACCATCTCAGAGCCCGCATCCTTTTTCTCTACCACTGCCATTGCTTCTTTGTGCAAGCACACAGATAATAACATTAATATATCATGCACCACTATGTGATTGGTCTGCCACTACAGGATCCCACCCTCAAAGCCAAAGTCCAACACTGAATTTTACAAGTTTTGAAAAATGTCAAGGTTATCAGCATTATTCTTATGTCCCTACAGCAAGGATAGGGAACCATGGACTGGGTGATAGCAATGTCATAAGATTCCCATAACCTCAGGGGATATGTTTCCAGATTTGTTGTGGAAATGTGAAACTTGGGATAATAGCAAACCCTATGGAAATGAATGACATGGGAAATAGACCATAGAGTTGCACTGGAGGATGTAGAAAATATCTAGAGAAAATACTTGTCTACATTTCCAGGTCCTCCAGCATGACTCTATGGCCAACTTCTGGCAGAAGAATATCATAGAACTGTGTTGGAGGACTTGGAAAATGCCTAGAGGGGACGGGTTTTTTTAAAGCAGATAAGTGAAATTGTAGGCATTGGTCCCATGGATACAGGGGACGGACTGCATTAAAACTAAGTCACACACTCTGCAGGCTGTTGTATGGGATATAAAAATGTAAATTATAGATAAAACAAACACATTTATTGATACCACATAAAAAGTTTAGTTTCTTTTTCCTCACTTCACTTTCATCAAACAATTTTAATTCTTGGAACAGTAACAGTAGAGGCTCTGCTTCAAATGATGGAAATGCATACTGTCAGAAATTGTCATCCCCAGCCACCCTGCAAATCTGTTACAATATTACACTTCCATAGGTCTACAGTGATACAAATTGTAAGATTTCTGTTGCAAATGCAGACATGCTACAAGTTGTAATTTTTCTCCTTCTACTGAGTTAGCAGGAGATTTGAATGTTGAGGCAGGTAATTGGGAAGTTAGTATTAAACTCTGGTCTGTGCATAGATTAGCATGGGTCCCGTAGACCAGGCATGTGCAAACTTTGGCCCTCTGGCTGTTAGGAATCGTGGGAGTTGGGGTCCAAAACACCTAGATGACTGAAATTTGCCCAAGCCTGCCCTAGACTCATGGGCAACTGCCCAGCCTGCCTCTGAATACAGCTAAACAAGAAAGGATCATTCCAAGTAAACAATGAGTAGACAGAACTAGTTCATGAGTGAACTTCCAAATTGGGAAGAGCTTATACTTGGCCTCACCCTTTCCCTCTGGCCCCACCTCCTTTGTGCCTGGCTTCCAACTGCCTGGGCTCCTCCCATGGCCCTACTTCTTCTTGGGCCACCCCTGAGAGCTAATGCCAGAAAAAAACTGTTCACTTTCTCCACATTGTTATGAACATATGTACAGGTCATCCCCAAGTTATGAACAAGTTAGGTACTGTAGGTTTGTTGTTAAGTTGATTTTGTATGTAAGTTGGAACAGGCCCATTTTAAGTGTAACTCCAGCCAAAATATATACAGCTTGGGTGGCATTGGGAAAGGTTAACACCCCTGTGGTGTTTGATTTGCTGTTTGTTCCCTTTTGAGATTCCACCTCACTTTCTGTCCCTGTGATAATTGGATTTTGGAAAATGTAGCTTGTTGTGGAAACAAGGATTGGTGATAAAGCTCCAGTGGAGACCCCTTTTCCTTATGATAACTCTTCCAGGAGTGAATTTCCCTTTGGAAGGGCAGATTTCTCTCCCTTCCTGTTGTCTCGCTGCCTGTATATGTATGTATATATGTATTCATTGTTTGATTAGGTTTGTTTGCTGTCGTATTATGACAATGAATGTTTGCCAGTTTGTGGGAAACCACCTTGAGTCCCCTTGGTTTATTATTATTATTATTATTATTATTATTATTATTATTAGATGCAGAACAAGATTAGTACACAACAAACATGATCACTATGTTGGCTTTTGTATTGAAACATATCTTGGACACTTCCCAAGTGTTTAGGGCTGTGTGATGTATTGGCGCATAATACCTGCAGATCCTAGTAGGATGGCCTTTTGCAGATGACAGATGGTATTGTGGAAGGCTTCAATGGCCAGAATCACTGGGTTGTGGTAGGTTTTTTGGGCTGTATGGCCATGTTCCAAAAGCATTATTTCCTGATGTTTCACCTGCATCTATGGCAGGCATCCTCACACCTGTCTCCAACAGACAAGAGTTCTTTCTACCACCCTGGACATTCCACAGATATATAAACCCAATTTTCCTAGTTTTCAACAAACCTCACAACCTCTGAGGATGCCTGCCATAGATACAGGCAAAATGTCAGGTTCATGCTTCTGGAACATGGCCATACAGCCCAGAAAACTCACAACAACCCAGTGACAGATAGAAATGTTATCAGTGCTTATTGTTTTTAAGTGCAGGCCAAGGTCTTTAGTTAGAACCATATAATTCCTTGCCTTTTTGTTAAAGCTGGAATGACCCTCATGTGCAATGATTGACTCCAAGAGATCAAGACACTTGCACTTTGGCCTGGACTATGTTAAATGCCATGTGACTAATGGGGCTGCATCGAACCTTAATTTGTATTCTGTTCTTAACATAGACTCATAGAATCATAGAGTTGGAAGAGACCTCATGGGCCATCCAGTCCAACCCCTGCCAAGAAGCAGGAAAATTGCATTCTAAGCACCCCCGACAGATGGCCATCCAGCCTCTGCTTAAAAGCCTCCGAAGAAGGAGCCTCCACCACACTCCGGGACAGAGAGTTCCACTGCTGAACAGCTCTCACGGTCAGGAAGTTCTTCCCAATGTTCAGATGGAATCTCCTTTCTTGTAGTTTGAAGCCATTGTTCCATTGCATCCTAGTCTCCAGGGCTTGTGTCAGAGTTTTTGCTATTATTATTATTATTATTAATTTATTGTGTGTCTGCGTGCGTGTATCTCACAAGAAAAGAAGGCAGGAGAAGCCTTGGGGATTCCAGGCAAGGCAGCCTTGGGACCTTCTGCAAACAGCAGGGCGAAGGCCGAAGCCTGACACACCAAACGCTTGGAGGGCACACGCCAGAGCGTTTGACCCGCTTGTTCCTTGTTTATTGCGGTCACAAGCTTTGGAGGAGGGCAGGCCCCGCGCCCGTAAGAGCGCCCACGGAAACTTCTCCGCCTTTGAGAGCGCTGTCTCCCCTCCTTCCTCCCCTTCCCCCCGCCCTTTCCCCCACTGAGGGCGAGGGCGCGCGCAGGAATGGGAGTCGCGCGCAGCCTTGGCCTCCGGGGCAGATTCCAGGACCTAAAAATACCCTCCCTCGCTCCCTCGCTCGCTCCCTCCCGCGTCGCTCTGCTGTGTCACCGCGGCCGCGCATAGCCACGCCGCTTGGTGCCGCAGGGTCTGGCTTCCCAAATCAACAAGCAGCCTCGGGGGGCTGAGTGGCCCCAAGGGTGGGCAATGCTTCCCCGAAACTTTTCCCTCCGGGCCAAGCGAAGAGGGCTTCTTCCCTTCCTCGAGGCGGAGATCGGGGGAGGCAGGGAGGGAGGGAGGGAGGGAGAGGGGCAGCCTCCGAATCCGCTTGCAGAGTCCCCGAGCCAGAGCGCGAGCCCCCTTCCTTCCCTCCTCGCTCCTGGGCCCCTGTCCCTCCTTGACAGCCCCGAGCAGAGCAGAGCATAGCGGAGCACTTACTCCCCTCCCGTGGCGGGCATGGCGGCGGCGGCAGCGGCTTGCGGGCCCCTCTCCGGCTCGTCCTCGGCCCCTGCTCCGCGTCCCCTTGCCCTCCCCTTCCCTCGCCCAGGGCCCTCCCCGCCTTGGAAGGGCGCCCGGCTCGGCCCCCTCCGCCCGCCTGCCCGCCCGCCCCGCCAGGGTTTCCCCCGCACAAAGCACCGCCTCTCCCCGCCGCCGCCGCCGGAGCCTGCTGCCACCTCTTTGAAGCCATTCAATAGACATTCAGTACAGCAGGAGGGACTGCCCCATTACAACTCTATACAGTCAGCCCCCAAGTTACCAACAAGATCAGTTCTGTGGGTCTGCTCCTAAACTGAATTTGTGTGTAAGTCGGAACAAGGACTTTTTAAAGCAGTGGTTTCCAACCTTTTTTTGACCAGGGACCACTTGATCAAGGACTATTTGACCAGAGACCACTTGACCAAGGACCACTTTGACCAGGGACCACTTAACCAAGGACTACTTGACCAGGACCACTTAACCAAGGACTACTTGACCAGGGACCACTTGACCAAGGATTACTTAACCAGGACCACTTGACCAAGGACTACTTGACCAGGAACCACTTTTGACCAGGGATCGCTTGACCAGGGACCATTTTGACCAGGGACCATTCTCCAACATTGGTACCCAAAGAGTTACAAATCAGTTTTTGGTCAACTTTAGATTCAGTTTGGGGTGCTGATTCAGAAAATTGCATTGGATAGACCACATCAGCTCTAGTTTCTGATACAGAACATTTGCCATGGTCAGCGACAGGGAAGGAGTGGCAGGTGGTGTGAAAGGAGTGGAAATAAAATAAAGTGGAAGGAGGCTCACGGACCAGATTTTCATACTCGCAGCCCACGGGTTAAGTACCACTGTTTTAAACTGTAACTCCAGCCAAAAATATATCTATGGTAGCTTTGGATTGCATAGGGAATGTTTAACACCCTTGTGGTGTTTGTTTTGCTGTTTGTCCCCCTGTTCAGGAGATTTCAGCACACTTTCTGTCACTGTGTGAATTGGATTTTTTAAAATGTGGCTTGTGGAAACAAGGATTGGTAAGCAAGCTTCAGTGGAGGCACATTTACCTCATGATACCTCTTTCAGGAGTTAATTTCCCATCTGAAGCATAGATTTCTCTCACTTCTTGTTGTCCCACCCCCCATTGCCAGTTGGATGTGTGTACCTCAAGGACTGCCTGTACCAAAATGTCGCAGGTTCAAATCCGGAGAGCGGTATGAGCTCCTGCTGTTAGCCCCAGCTTCTGCCAACCTAGCTAACAGTTCGAAAACATGCAAATGTGAGGAGATGAATAGGTACCACTCCAGTGGGAAGGTAACAGCACTCCATGCAGTCATGCCAGCCAAATAACCTTGGAGGCGTCTACGGACAATGCCGGCTCTTCGACTTAGAAATGGAGATGAGCACCACCACCCAAAGTCAGACACAACTGGACTTAATATCAGGGGAAAACCTTTACCTTTACTTATGCAGTCCTGTTAAAATATGTTGATAAATAGCACATCTACTCTGAAGCCAGGGTCCTTCTACACTCACCATCATTGGCGGACTGGGTCTAAAAATATTGGTTCCCAGGGCCCACCTACATGTTGGAAATAGGCAACCTTCTCAAGCCTCCTCTGTTTCATGACTTGTCTGTATATAAGGTGCGGTTTCAATGCTGAAGTGTATATGTTCTTTTTTATGCAGTTTTTCCTAACTCTATGTTCTTGAGGCTGCAAAGAAGGCTGAAATTAAAACAAATTAAACCCGCATTTTGGACTTTAGGAGAGCTGACTTCCGAAAAATGAAGGAAATACTGAGCAGCATTCCGTGGACACAGATACTAAAAGACAAGGGAGTTACGGGTGGATGGGAGTTTTTCAAGAGTGAAATACTCAAGGCACAATTGCAAACAGTGCCAACAAAGAGAAAAAACAGGACAAGTGCAAAGAAGCCAGAATGGATGTCCAAAGAACTTCTAACTGTGCTAAGACTCAAAAGAGACATGCACAAGAAGTGGAAAAAGGGAGAAATCACCAAAGAAGAATTCAAACAAATAGCCAACTCCTGTAGGGAAAAGGTCCGCAAGGCTAAAGCACAAAATGAGCTCAGGCTTGCCAGGGACATTAAAAACAATAAAAAGGGCTTCTTTTCTTATGTCAGTAGAAAAAGGAAGAACAAGGAGGCGATAGGGCCTCTTTGAGGAGAAGATGGGGCAATGCTGACAGGGGATAGGGAAAAGGCAGAACTACTTAATGCCCTTTTCCTTGGTCTTCTCATAAAAAGAAAGTCATCTCCAACCTCAGCAAGATGGAGTGGATGAGGGATTAGAGGACATCCAACCCCAAATTGGGAAACAAGGTCATCCAGGAATACCTGGCCGCTCTAAATGAGTTCAAGTCCCCAGGGCCAGATCAACTACACCCAAGAGTATTGAAGGAACTAGCGGAAGTCATTTCGGAACCATTGGCAATCATCTTTGAGAGTTCTTGGAGAATGGGAGAAGTTCCAGCAGATTGGAGGAGGGCCAATGTGGTCCCAATCTTCAAGAAGGGAAAAAGGATGACCCAAACAATTACCACCCGGTCAGCCTCACGTCGATACCAGGCAAGATTCTGGAAAAGATTGTTAAGGAGGTCTGCAAACACTTAGAAACAAATGCGGTCATCGCTAATAGTCAACATGGATTTATCAAAAACAAGTCATGCCAGACTAATCTGATCTCTTTTTTCGATAGAGTTACAAGCTGGGTAGATGCGGGGAATGCTGTGGATGTAGCGTACCTGGATTTCAGTAAGGCCTTCGACAAGGTCCCCATGACCTTTTGGCAAGGAAACTAGTCCAATGTGGGCTAGGCAAAACTACGGTGAGGTGGATCAGTAATTGGTTAAGTGGATGAACCCAATGCTTCCTCTTCATCCTGGAAAGAAGTGACGAGCAGAGTGCCGCAGGGTTCCGTCCTGGGCCCGGTCCTGTTCAACATCTTTATTAATGACTTAGATGAAGGGTTAGAAGGCAGGATCATCAAGTTTGCAGATGACACCAAATTGGGAGGGATAGCCAATACTCCAGGGGACAGGAGCAGGATTCAAAACGATCTTGACAGATTAGAGAGATGGGCCAAAACTAACAAAATGAAGTTCAACAGTGACAAATGCAAGATACTCCACTTTGGCAGAAAAAAACGAAATGCAAAGATACAGAATGGGGGGCAATGCCTGGCTCGAGAGCAGTACGTGTGAAAAAGATCTTGGAGTCCTCGTGGACAACAAGTTAAACATGAGCCAACAATGTGATGTGGCGGCAAAAAAAGCCAATGGGATTTTGGCCTGCATCAATAGGAGCATAGTGTCTAGATCTAGGGAAGTCATGCTACCCCTCTATTCTGCCTTGGTTAGACCACACCTGGAATATTGTGTCCAATTCTGGGCACCACAATTGAAGAGAGATATTGACAAGCTGGAATGTGTCCAGAGGAGGGCGACTAAAATGATCAAGGGTCTGGAGAACAAGCCCTATGAGGAGCAGCTTAAGGAGCCAGGCATGTTTAGCCTGAAGAAGAGAAGGCTAGGAGGAGATATGATAGCTATGTATAAATACGTGAGAGGAAGTCACAGGGAGGAGGGAGAGAGCTTGTTTTCTGCTTCCTTGGAGACTAGGACGCAACAATGGCTTCAAACTACAAGAGAGGAGATTCCATCTGAACATGAGGAAGAACTTCCTGACTGTGAGAGCCGTTCAGCAGTGGAACTCTCTGCCCCAGAGTGTGGTGGAGGCTCCTTTTTTGGAGGCTTTTAAACAGAGGCTGGATGGCCATCTGTCAGGGGTGCTTTGAATGCAATTTTCCTGCTTCTTGGCAGGGGGTTGGACTGGATGGCCCATGAGGTCTCTTCCAACTCTATGATTCTAAGATTCTTGTTAAGAACAGAGTACAAAAATAAGGTTTGATGCAGCCCCATTAGTCACATGGCATTTAACATTATCCAGGGCAAAGTGCAACTGTCTTGATCTCTTGGTGTCAATGTATACAATCATTGCACACGAGGGCCATTCCAGCTTTAATGAAAAGGCAAGAAACTATATGGATCTAACTGGCAATCAAATCCTCTTGCTGCAAGCAATGTATCAGCAAACTTTTTCAGGCTAAGCTGACTGCCATATTTGCAGTCAGCAGCATTTCAGGCAACTCATTTGCCATTTAGGTCTGCTTCTTAGAGCCATCTGCTGCACTGAATCTCATGTATTTTCAAGATACCTAAAGGTCGTTAACATTTTCAACCTACTGTCTGATGTTTAAAGGAAACTACGTGCTTAAGGGGGTCACATGTTTCAGGGAGTCACATGTTTACAGGGGCCCATTCACCACTGGGCAAGCTGACACCCTCCCAGTCTTCAAACCGCATCTAACAAACAGCACACTCCCACAAAAACATGTGAAAGGAAGCCCTTAACGGGCATTAGTGCTCTGATTTGTGTTAGTGCTCTGATTTGTGTCATCACCACCATCCAAGTCTCGAACTGGGTCCAGGATCAAGTCTTAGGTAATCATCTGCACAGGGAAAACATTTCCTTTAATACCAGTTTGGAACTGAATTGAATGATCAGTGTAGATGGGGTTTAATTTTCAAACCGATACTGAAGAAAGTGGTTGCGCTGTGCAGATGATTGCATGGGAAATCCTGGAACCATTTTGAGACCCGGATGGTGATGACGCAAATCACAGAGTGCTGAGGCACCATCTTTCACATATTTTTGTGGGAGTTTGTTGTCTGGCCACTACAGTTGGAAGCTACAGGGTGGGCCAAAAATCACAAAGGGATTTAAATATTTATTTTTCAGTTTTTAATTTACAATACCATGGCACAAGGTATTATAAACATATAGTTTTTAAAGGAAATAAAATTACATAACATAAGCCCTGGTGGTGCAGCAGATTAAAACCTTGAGCTGCTGAACTTGCTGACTGACCGAAAGGTTGGCAGTTCAAATCCGGGGAGCAGGGTGAGCTTCCCCTGTTAGGCCCATCTCCTGCCAACCTAGCAGTTCGAATA